TTTTTTTTTTTTTTTTTTGACAGTTTTCTTTCACATTTCCAAATTAAACTAATTTTTTTTTCAATGACAATGCTATAATGAACGAAAAAACGTTTAGCAAGCATCGTATATTTTCTGGCTTTTTTTTTGACTGTTCACGTTTTTTTATTCTTGTTACCAATTTATTTCACTCTAAATTTTTGACTAATTTTACTGCTGCCATGACAAATAGTTTTGAGAAAATTTGGAGAGAGAAAAAAGCAGTTTTTTTTTTTGGCTGCGATGTTTGAAGACGAGCGTTGTTTTTACGTCAACTGAGAAGATGGCGGGTGAAGACCGCAGTTTACGATGTGTGTAGTTTAAAAAATGGCTGCAACGTACTGCATGGGTCCTGAAACGAATGTAGCAGAAGGATGGCAATGACAACCGTAGTAATGACAGTGCTGAAAAAGGTGTTTGAGACGTAGAAGGAAAGAATTAAATGTTTTTTTTTTGGCTAAGCTCCTTTCCTTATTTTCTTTTAGTTATGAAAGAGAGGTAAAAAAGCAAAAGGTGGAAAAACGGTGAAAAAAAATTAAGAGAGAGGAAAAAAGAGAGAAGCAGAATTTAAAGAAAAATCAGGTTGTTTTTTAAAAGTTTTTTTCGTCTGTTTGTTTCATTGCTTCTTCTTTATATTTCTCTTTCAATCACCTTTCTTCAATTTTTTTCATCTCTCTATTCATCTTTGATTAATGGAGTTTAAATCTGTTCAAAAAATAAAGCGAAGAGAAAAAGGAAAGGAACAAAGGGGAAACAAAAGGAAAAGAGCGATCTTAACAAACTAAAAAATTTGTATGATCTCTTTATTATATTTCTGTTTTTTCTTTCTTTTCTTTCTTTATTGTTTTATTTTTTGACTGATATAAAATTACTTCTTGGTTTTTTTAATTATTTTTTTGCTTTTTTTGTTTAATTGGTGAGAAAAAGGTTTGTTGACATTTTTTTTTCTAATGCTAACTTTCTTTTGCATTGTTTCATCTTTACGGAGATTTATCTATTTCTTCTCCTTCTTCATCTTCTTCCCGAGGACTAACCTTTTTTTCTGGATTTCACAACTACGTAAGATAATAATGGAAACCAACTTTTCTTTTTTTTCAAAAAAATTTTATTTTCTCTACAGTCTGAACTGCTCATCATTTTACTTGCATGCTGTTGATTAGGTCTTTTACCAGTGACCAAAAAAATGAAAATACGGCACAAAACGAAC